CACACACACACACATACTTTTTCCAAATTTGGTCTCATTCGATTCAGAATGGCTTGAAACGTCGAGAAAACATAAAATTAGCGAATCGGATTTTTTGATGAAAACATAAACTTCTCCTTCGGGAAGTTACATAATTTTCATTATCTGATGAAATAAACCCGAAAGCTCAACGTCAAATCAAGCATCCTTCATCTTGAACAATGTTCTTTCATGTATATTTTTAAACTTTCAATATTAATACCCATGTCATCATGTTTTTAGCATTTTGACAGATTGGTTATTGGAAGTCGTGAATCACAAATGATAAATTTAGAAGCTTTGGCTTCAATTCATAATATGTGGAAATGTTCGCAGCGATATAATGAATTACTCACAGAGACGATTTTATAGCACAGTGTAGTATTTTGATGGTGACATGGTTTTAGCACTAATTTTATGAACTGAACCGACATGATTTGTTGCTTGTTAACAAGTTTTATTGCAGGCCATCTGGGTGTGTTTATTTCACCTATAAATTATCATCGATGAATTAATTTGAAGAGGATAATTATTGTTTCACCTATTGTGTAATAACTTTTACAATAGAGAATAGTGGTATAATCAAACAAAATTATTGGTTTTGGTTATTTTATATTATTATCAGCTTTAATAATAATTCTGTTTTACATATTAAATTTTTCTTTTATCTACTCTAATTAAGAGACAAGTTCAAGCAAAAACATCGCCATAATTTCATTCACCGTTTTGTAAGACTCAACGCGAAAGTCATATTTCATCGTGGCATATTTTAATGATATTTTACATATCAACTGAAAGGTTTTAATTAAATTCACATTGCAAGTTTGTCAAGTGCGCTATGCAACATGATATATTATTTGAAGTAATGAGAAGGTATTAAATTCGAATTTGCGGTAATTAATTTAAAACTAAGGAAGAGATCTGAATTATTATCGGATCAGCTGTTGCAATATATAAAGTATACATTGTAGGAATCAGCAGAAAATAAAATGAATGTAGAAACTCACAAATATATATATATATATATATATATATATATATATATATATATATATATAAATCCGAATTCAAGCACGTTACACATTTATGTTATAAATCCTTAATGTTCAGGAAATATCCTTTATTCGAAGATTATACAGATGATACGAAAATAATTAGATTAAGACGATTAATGGCTTACAAAAGACAGTAATACCTTCAGAGAAAACATAATCCACAAGTATCTTGTTGTGGCAAATATAATACAGAGTGCTTTTCGAACTTTAGACATTTTTATATCGGTTTGCAAAAAATATAATATAAATTAACTAGTCCATTAATCCCGTGTGGTTTTTAGGGGCAGGGAGAGTTGACAAAAATCACAAAATATCACATGAGAGAGGGAGGGGGTGTAGTAAGATATCGCGTGTATTTATTTTTAATCTAATTTTTTTTTAAAAAAATTCCAACATTCTCAAAAAAATTTAGAAATTTCACGATTTTTTCTCGTAACTAAAAATGCACGTGATGTTTGGTGGAGGAGGGGGGTAGTTTTGAATATCACCAAGGGGGGGGGGGCAAAAATTCTCGAAAACTCAATCACGTGATTAATGGACGCCCCCTAACATACATATGGAAATTATGTGATTTATTTGAACAACTGAACTTCTTATTTAACCACTTTCATAAACAGGTTGTTACTTTTGGTTTTTATTTTTTACTCGAAATTTTGTAGTAAGAAATTATCAATTATTTTACCATTTTACAACCCTAATGAAATTCGCCAACTTTTGATGAAAGTTGCCAATACACTTTAGTACATTTTTTTAAAGAAACCTCTCTCAAACCCAAGCGATTTAAAAAAAAATCATAGTTCAACTAAAAGTCTTAATACTTGAAAACTTAGAGCAATTTTGTAATTATTTTTGACTGTATGTTTTAAAAAAGTACTGTTGCAAAGTCTAAATGGGCAAAATTATAAAAAATTAACCACAAAAATGGTCACAATTGCACGAAAGATCCAGGTTGCACATAAAAGCTCATAAAATCCAAACAATGTGAGATAAATATTTTGTCTAATTTTTTTCAACATATTTATGGTCAATACTATTACCCCGTTTATTTCATATATACTAATAATAAGTATAAATGATAATTCATAATTTTGCATATTTATTAAACATTCACAAGTTTGAATTAATCATCCATTAGTAGTTAACCCATTCTTATAAGGGTGTCTATGAATCACGTGATCGATTTTTCAAGGTTTTTGGGACACCCCCTCCCCTTTGGTGATACGTAGTGATATTTAAATGTACTCCCCCCCTTGTCCCACCAAACATCACGTGTATTCTAAAAATGTGAATTTGTTTATTATTTTTGAACGTTTGGATTTTTTTAACTTCCCGAAGGAGAAGTTTATGTTTTCATCAAAAAACCCGATTCGCTAATTTTATGTTTTCTCGACGTTTCAAGCCATTCTGAATCGAATGAGACCAAATTTGGAAAAAGTATGTGTGTGTGTGTGTGTGTGTGTGTGTGTGTGTGTGTGTGTGTGTGTGTGTGTGTATGTGAACAGATTTTTTGCCGTAAATCGACGTTTTCTCGAAAACGGCTGGACCGATTTCAAAAATTTAAAAGCCATTCGATGTATCTGGACGAGAACTATTGTTTGTCAGTATTGTGCGACGATCGGCCAAGCCGTTTCTTCATAAATGGCAGAAAAGTGAAAAATTTTTCGTCTACGTTTTAGCCCGCAATTCTGAATCGATTTTGAAAATTCAAAAACCGTTCGAAAGATATTGGTTGGGAATCGTGCTGATTAGTTTTTGGTAGAGATCGGCCGGGCCGTTTTCTTGTAATAAAGTTTTAAAAAAAAAATTTCGACGATTTTTATGATTATTTTTTTGACGATAGATACCATAGTCTTCTAGATCATACTAAAATATTACGGCCCTACGACAACTGGTTCAGCTTTAAAAATTCGTCAAAGTTTGCAAAAATCAGTATGGTCTTTTTGGCATTTGTCAAAATTAGACTTTTGATCGACGTTTTCTCAAAAACGCCTGAACCGATTTTAGAAATTTAAAAGCCATTTGATGTATTTCGGTGAGGACTATCGTTTGTCAGTTTTGTGCAACGATCTGCCAAGCCGTTTCTTTGTAATTTGAAAAAAACTTTTCGTCCACATTTAAGCTCATCCTACCGAACGATTTTAAAAAATCAAAAACTGTTCGAAAGATATTAGTTGGGAATGATACTGATTAATTTTAGGTGAAAATCTACCGAGCCGTTTTCTTGTAATTAACTGTTGAAAAAAAGTGTTAAATTTTCGTCGACATTTAAGCTCATCCTACCGAACCGATTTTAAAATATCAAAAACTGTTCGAAAGATATTAGTTGGGAATGGTACTGATTAATTTTAGGTGAAAATCTACCGAGCCGTTTTCTTGTAATTAACTGTTGAAAAAAAGTGTTAAATTTTCGTCGACATTTAAGCTCATCCTACCGAACCGATTTTAAAATATCAAAAACTGTTCGAAAGATATTAGTTGGGAATGATACTGATTAATTTTAGGTTGAAAATCTACCGAGCCGTTTTCTTGTAATTAACTGTTGAAAAAAAAAATTAAGCCGATTTTCATGGAAATTTTTTTGGCGATATACATCATGGTCTTATAGAACTTACTGTTATATTACGGCCTAACGACAAGTAGTTTAATTTTAAAAATTCGTCAAAGTTTGCTAAAATTATTATCGTTTTTTTTAAAAGTAGGATTAATGAAGTATATTATTTACACATTTTTTTTTGATTAAGTCGATTATTTACACATTTCGGGAAGTTCATGTAACTTGCCTCAAGGCTAAATACCAAACCAACTAGTTTTAAATTTAGGTCAAAATAAAATTCACGTGATATCTTACTATACCCCTCCCTCCCCCACGTGATATCTCGTGATTTTTTGTCAAACCCCTCCTCGCCCTAAAAACATCACGTGATTAATGCACGCTCCAGATGAGGTCACCAATAAGTTCTAGCTATATAAATTGTTAGTGCAAAATTACTACTAATTAACAAACGCTAAATACTGTATATGCAGGCTGAATTATAGTCAATAAATCAATTTATAGCTATAAGCAGCATAAAATTATAAGTATATTTTGCTGCATTTGTGAATGTTTCGATAAACCACGTGAACATCCATCAAAATTTGCGTATGTGAATAATTTACAGTTCTACAAAGTTTGCAAGTTTCAACTTAAACTTAAATCTAATCGAGTCGTGCAGGTTAAAAAGTTTTATCAACAATACAAGTGCAGAACAGCTCCGAGAATGGCGCTTCTAGTTCGCGTACGTGATGAGACTCTGAAGAAAGGTTATTATCAGTGTTTTGTAGAAATAAGTCGAAATTGTCCTGGCGGCACGTTTGGAGACGGAAATATATTTATTACAGCTTATTCAACCGAATACAAATAGACAGAGCATAGTAATAGTCTTATTCAATATTATATTAAACAACATATTTGATTAAAATATGGTAAAATATGCAACAAGTCAATCAATTTCGTAGCAGTGCCTCCAGCAACATAAAAATTGATTTACTTGGTTTTGGCAAGTACTACTAAAGATTAACTACCGAACCACTAGCGTTCCTGATTAAAAAATAATTTTTGACTTCGGTGTTATCATGAATACATTACTAGGCACATAAGAGTTTTATTGTTACAGTACACGTTGAAGTCAACAATACTACACCAATATTTTACCCATGTCTAACCACAGTCGTTGAGTATTCTCAAGTTTGCTTAACGAGCAAACTAAGCGCAATTCAAGAGTATATCTTCAATAGAAGCTTCCGTCATTTGTCATGCACTTGTGTATTACAGTAAGTAGTATATGGAAGAAACTTGAGTTAAGATTAAATCTCTATACAGTGAAAATTCAGAGTGAATAGATACTAACTTACATAAAACATGCATGTTCCCAATATTTATATTTTAGTTCATGCGAAAACACCACACCACACCACATTTATATTAAAAAACAACTTACTATACGGCTGAGGTCTGCCCCCAAAATGTGGTTTCTGCAAAAGTGGCTGAGACCGGCCGTTACGCCCATCCATGGCATCTTTGGAGTCTGCAATCGCAAAATCTTGTTTATTTATTTGAATTTTTTTTTAAAAATTAAAATAAACCAATATCGACTAATGTGGAATATGATGCAATGAACACCAGGAAGAGGGAAATAGACGTTCATGGTTTGTAAATAATATTATTGTGAAATTGTATGAAAAGAAGTTTTAGAGTCGAGATGATTAAGTAAATCCACAAACCACAGAATGAATATGCAACCAATTTTCTAGCATATGTTATGAGTTGATAAATGTGTAATGGTCATAAATAATGTAAATTGCTAGATTGCAAAAGAAATATTTTTTTCAATATTTTATGTATTTTTTATTACGGTTTATTTCTCATTAAAACATATTTTTTCTTCAATTTTTAGTTTCTATTTAGTTTCTTTTCCAAAGTAAAATTTGTTTAGGCGCGACTAGGGTGTGAATCCATACCAATGCAACGGAAGAGCGTTACGTTCGAGTCGAGTGCCAATGATTCGTGATTCGCTCTTGATGATATCATTTCTATACGGGTCGATTGTGATTGGTCGTCGTATCACGTAAGTATGATTGCTTTGATTGTATGCGTATACGTAGTGGAAATAATAAAACAAATGAAAGATTGTTTTACGATGTATTCATTTTAAACTTAAATGCCATCATGTACAATAGCAAAAAGTTTTACTTCAATCGGGCACTCTTTTTTTTAAGGCAATTAGGCAATGTATGGTGTTAGATTAGGACAATACTTGATTACGTCTGATTTCCGCAAATTTTGATTCATTATTGGCCGAGACACCTTTCGAATAGAGTTGATGCGAATATTGTTAAAAAACAAGAAAGTTTATATTTTTGCTTCAATTAGTGGTAACAAATGAAAAACTTCAGTTTATTATGGAAACTTATGGAAGGACACTTGTCATTCACGCAAACAGTCATGGATGAAATTGAAACGTCAAATATAATTGAATTAGAAACAATTAGGTTCATCAAAAATTTGTACAAGTAGAGGTAGAAACGTCGACAGGTCGACAATATCGACAAAAAGTAAGAAAGGAACATTGACAGGCATTGAAGTAACCAGGAAGACAAGTAGATAGATGGATGGGTAGACAAGTGGCCAGGTAGACAGGTAAACAGGAACTTTATATGCTCAAAATATATCATGAATGTGTGTATATACCCATGTGTGTATAAAATTCGGTTTACATTCGGCTCGTGTTCTGAACGTTAATTCCTATTTGGCAGAGCCATTTAGGCACAGGAATCAATAAAGAGGAGCGAGAACACACGTGGAAATTCGTTCGTTAATCCATTTGTTCAATTCGCAACGAAAATACATACATAATCAGATTACCTTCGTGACTGACAACGCATAATAATTATCTCGATATAGCAGAGGTGGCACATCACAACAGCCTTCCATCGAAATGAGAAAATTACGAAAGTTGTAGGAACTATTAACTTAGTTAACTATAATAAGTTCGTTTATATGAACTTCTTGAAGGATTTTACAATGCAACAATTTGCTATAATTTGAACTTTGTAATATATTTGTTTGCTGTCTCTAGGTCAATATGTCAATGTCTGTAAGTAATAGAATATGTGGAATATGGAGTTGATTGCGCCAACTTTCAATGAAATATGTCAACCCACTTTAGCAAAATTGTTTTAGAAAGAGAGCCTTCCAAAGTCAAATTTAATATATACACTTTACTGTGGTCCTAGAAATGTTATTCACGGTTACGGTTCCAAAGTTTAAATAAACAAAATTAAAAAAAATCAACAACAATAACTGAAAAATGGTCATAATTTAATTTAAAGCTCTAGGTTGCATTTAGAAGCTCATAATCTCTAAACAACGAGAGATTTTTTTGTTCCAATTTTTTTCAGGACAGTAAAGGCTATGCTAACACCCCGTTTCGGCTTTATGTTGAGCTATGGGACACCCTGGCTCAATATACAAGAATATATATGTATACATACATATATGTATTATATACATTATTTTTTCTTCCAAAATAAATTTTCCACTACTCTGTCAAAGCAAAAAAGATTGCGTGCTCTGGCCTACAAGCAGTAGCAATTTTCCGATCTCGGTTTCATAGATAAAGAATGATCGAACACGCAAAATAGAACATTCTGCAAATCAGAAATTGAATTTTCTCTCGAAGATCGAATATCAAAAAGATTCCTTTAAAGATTTTCTAACGCATTGATGGATGGGCTTCATTAGCCGCTATTCTAGAGGATAACATTTTATGGTATCTGCTAGGGCGCTTTTGTAATGAAAGATTTAAGGGTATTAAAAGTGAATTTATCTTAGAAGTAGATATTATTTATAAGTGTACTTCATATTGTTCACTGAATAAATATGCAACATTACAAGAAAATAGAAGAAAATTCAATTTTGAAGAACGTATAAACAGTCAAAATAATTTTTTTAGAGTTTCGAAAAAATTGGATCCTTGGCTTAATAACTAATGAATTTATTCAGTTAATATGGTTAAAATGATAAAATTGAAAAAAAAAACAGTTCCGAATATTATACATCATATTATTATATAGGATTTTCCTACCAAATTAGACTTTCTTATTTGATTTCTTTTAACTTCCTTACATTGACTTTTCGCAGACCAAATAATTCAAATTCAATGTTCATGATTACTTCATTCACTCTTTGAAAAGCCCTATAATTTTGTGTCTGATCAGAAATCAGGAAATTGATACTATTAGTACCTATATGTATATCAAAAATAAAATTAGACTTCAAAAAGAATTTTGTCTATATAATTTTACATGTAAAAACCTATGTACATATATAATTTCTAGATTGGATTTTGCAATGATAGCATGTTAAGAGTTTCGAAATAAGTTGAACTATTATAATCTTGAAAAGCCACAATTGTTTATTATAATATATCAATTATAGTCGTTTCAGGCGTATTGGCATTAACAATACAGAGGTTCTATTTGTAATCGTGCGGAAGATTCTCTATTATGTAAAAGAGAAATAACCTTTGAACATCAGGGATTAGAAATCCGCAATAGATTTATGAAAGATTCAAATTGTAAAATATAGAATTATCCATACGAGTCATTAATGATTTGAAAAAAATATATATAAAAGATAAAATATTGTATATGGAAATTATCTACATATATATAAAAATAAGTCGGGTTTTCCTTCCTGCTATAACTCCAGAACGCATGAACCGATTTCGCAAATTTTGCATTCGTTGGAAAGGTCTCGGGCTCCGCAAGGTTTATAGCTAATAAAATTAGTGGTGCATGGCATCGTGCCTTAATGCAAATTGCTGGAACTTCACGCACCGTAATTAAAAATTCGAGTAATGACATTAGTGAGAATTATCAGAATTATGCTTGCAATTAAGTCAACGAGCAATTCTTGCCGCAAAGAATAATGATGTACACGCACTAAATTTCACAATTCAATCAAAAATTGCTGGCGATTGGACATACCAATGATTTCGACTGGTCTTCCGTTTGACTTCAAACGATTGCAATTTCCAGTTCGCCTTGAGTTCGCAATGACAATTAACAAGTCGCAAGGTCAATCGCTTAGTGTTTGCGGGATAAATTTCAAATAGATTATTTAGAAAACCATTCGCTTTGTTTGTGTTAACGTTAGACCAAAAAACAAAAAATGTGGTTTACCAAAGAGCACTTCAATGAAACGGATAATTTGCGGATTCATTTTCATTTACTTAGAGAAGTTCAACTAAAAAACACTTTATTTTTGTAATCGAAATAAATTCATTACTGTTGTGTAATCAAATTAAATTTTTTCTTTTCAAATATAGAACAAACAAAAAATTTCTTCATCTTTCTCCCTAAACCATCTGGTGGCAAAACGGAGTTCGTCGGGTTTGCTAGTTTTTTATAAAACAAAATATAATCAACTCAATTCAAATGTATTATTTCCTGCTATGACCACTGATTAACAAATATAGATCCAACCCGTATCAAAACACCATTACCCACCTTGATATTTGAACTACATAGGTGAACATTCACAAAGTGCAAATGTGTGAGAATAGCATGTTCGGCGTTCACAAAAGCACAAGCCCAAACCCAATGAAGAAGAACCGACCAGCCAACTCATGGAAGACGATAAGTTCGCCAGGATAATATAAACAGAGAAGGTCTTTGAACTATCCCCGGCAAAGGTCGTGTGACAACAACACGATGTATAAACGTTTTAAGCAATCACGATTAAGGCAATATCAACCGGTAAATGCATTCACTGTTCAAAGATATTGAGCAACGAGAAACACAACTACTATATACATACCTACAATTTCGTAATACTTTCAGTTTGCGATGTTACGCACCCTACGGGCACATGGAAATTGAGGATGCGCCAGCAGATGGTTTGCAAATACAAAATTCGGGTCATGTATGGTAGAATTGAATAGACATTATTGTAGATATCAGCACGATTATACACTCAGAACTTCCATGTCAAAATTGGAAATGGATGCGCCAATTCTACTGTAAAATGGACTGCAACAAAGCGTTGTCATGGCAACGCTGCTTTCTTCATATAAAATGAAGAGTATTGAAGTAAAATTTCTTTAGGCCCGACTAGGGAGTAAATCTGTGAGAATGCAACGGAAGTTGCGTTACGCCCGGTTTGTTCGTCATTCGCTCTCGATGAAATCATTTCTATACGGATTGATGCGTTGTTTAACATAATCCACTATGTGAACGAATATTATAGAATTTATTTATGAGCAATTACTTCATTTCTCTATCTAATGAAAGTTCAAGTACTATTTGCTAATTACAATGACAAACCGATCATGTCGTATTTGAAGTATGACTTTAATTGCATTATTGTTTACAAATATTTTTAATGCTATTATAAATATATAATTTATAATTTACTATTATATAAATATGTATAATGGTTGACATTAGTAAATTGTGCATTACGAGTGTTATCATATTACTAATAAACATTATTCAAAATTGTTATATGATTAATTGTGAAATT